GGGGGGGGGGTGAATGTGGGTGGGTGATTAATGACTGTACCTAAATGAGGCCAAAACATCCAGATGGGAGTAGAGAGAGAAACTCACTAAGTCATCTACATGTCCTCTCGATATCATTATATCATTCCAAAGACCCGGATGCTTAGCTATTGAATGGATATGATTAGTTGAATACATTATACATTCCACTGTTATTTGCTAGGTAAACTATTAGCATGCTGCTGTAGTATAAATGAAACAATCACAATAACACAATGGTTAAAATTCTTGGCTGCAACCGAAAAGTTGGTCCGTCCAGCCCACGGGCCTCTCTCTCCACTGCAGAACGAGACGCAGTCTGCTTCCAGGAAGTTTTATGGGCTTGGCAACCCTCGGGGGCACTTCTCTGCCTTCCTGTAGGGTTGCTATCAGTCAAAATCAGCTCAAAGGCAATGAGTTAGTAGGGCCAGGCTCACAATTTAAAAAACGCCCACTATTTTATTCTTATCTTTCTTCACATAAAGATCTCAACATTTAATTTGAGCGATAATAAATTATGAGACCAATTGAAAATAAATTAGTCTTCTATGAGGATGAAAATAATAATGAGACCTAGCGTAAAAAGAGCAAAGGTTTGCTGCTCTTGGAGCTATTTGCTCATCTAAAATAAGGATGGGAATTAAAGACTGACCGATCCAGTGGATGCATATTTATGTGTGTGTGTATTTTAAATTTAGGTATGTGTCATGTGCCCTGGGCTGTCCCTACGAAGGAAGCATTGCACCACAAAAAGTGACGGAAGTAAGTATTTCAGGTCTTTCCAGCACATGGTGAAATGATGTTTGGTATTTTTTAAAGTGGGTTTGTTTCCTTGCCTTTATTGCATCAGTTTAACAAAGACTAAGGGAGACTATCCTGAAAGAGATGAGTGGGAGCTAATACTTTCATTTTCAAGGGTGCCCCAAATTAAATCAGAGTTGAGTCTTAATGTTTGGGTGCTAAAAATCAGAGTGAGAAAACATCAGCTGTGTTTGCTTTGGCTTTGTTTGTGTTCGTTTTTTCTTTTAATGTGGAAAGAACATAAATTGTTGGAACATTGTGTATGAACAGGTAAGCTTTATTTAGGTTGTTTATGTACACTCATTTGTTTCCCTGCAAAATACCACACAGATACTAGGAGACATGCTGCTTCAGGGTTTTTATTACGTTGAAATGGATGGTGCTTCTAGGGTCTATGTTCCCAGAAAAGTATTATAGCAATCGAGTATCATTTCTAAATCCTCCTTACAGAAGTTCGAGCATTTGTTTTCTATTCTCATTCATTAATTGATACTAATGAACACAAATATGAAGTGTGTTAATTTATACTTCATATTGAAAAGGTGGTTGAATGTGTTAATATAGTATTAATGGTGCTAAAGCAGAAAGGTGACACTATTAGGAATCAACATTTAGGAAAGACAAACTTTACCATTGTCCTTATCATTGCTTTTTTGAAATGTCTTGCACCATTTTTAAATGAGGGATATTTCATGGCTTATTAGTCAAGTAAGACTGTCATCTACTATGAAATAATAAAGCTTACATTTTATAGTGCTTCACTTGCAAGAGCCCCTTCTAAGGGTCTGTCTTTAATTTCTATTTAGAATTACATATTCTTTTCTTTGAAAACACTTAATTTATAAAACAAAGTAAAAAATAAAATAAATATATGAGACATGAACAACAAACACACAAAAAAACCCACTTCCCAAATTGTGCAACTTCTGACTGTCCAGAACTTGGATCCATCACTACCTGTACAATAAAACAAGAGCTTTTTTAAATGCCTCCTGCCATCCTTAGAGAAATCACACCCCTCCAAGATCTCCATTCCTCCCCCAGGAGGTCTGAGGTGCTACTGAAGAGCATCATGGGGCAGGCAGATTATAAGCGTTCTATGTTCATGATCCCCATGGGTCTTCTCTGCTATCCTACTCTAGTTCATGCTCAGCTCCTACTCACTGAAATGACCATTTTAAACTCGGTTCACTTTGTTCAAACCTGTACTCCATTCATTTTCTCTCCCACATGTACACCTGCTCCATCGGAACAGAATGTGTTCTTTTGACCCTTGAACATGTTTCATCCAGGGGGAAAGTGTATTCATGTAGGAGATACTGAGGCAGTTACCTAGAGCCATCTTCCTAACCCTAAACAGCTCCATCAAAGAACTGCTACCGTGATGGCTTCCACTTTTCTCATGTGCCACCAGCGCTTCCTCACACGCCAGGAGGATTTCTAGGTCATTCATGCCATTGAGATCCATCTTCATAAGATCAGGACTCACCGCTTGTGTCACAAAATGAAACAAATAAGATCATGTCCCGGCCTTACCTCATTTGGATTTGCAGCAGAAGGAGGGAATGTGGACCGCTCCCTCCTAAGAGTTAGTACCTAGCTGAAACCCTGTGTCTATCATTTGTATCCACTTGACCTCACACTTACATGATTTCTTCCCATGCCTTGTGTTGCTCCTCAGTTTTTTCTCCTTGACCATGAAATATACAAATTCATAGACATGCATGTGTGTAAGAACGAGCTTTATGTACAAGAGCAATTGAATTTTGAGAAAAATCCCAGGCAAGACCAGATCAAGACCATAAGTCTGACATTAGCCCATGTCTGATATCAATCTATAAATTCCTCTTCAGACTCATGCAACACATGAAATGACGCCAAATGCAGGAAGATCTCAGGCCAGTGGGTGGAAAGTCCTGAGGATCCAGTGGCGGTGGAGATATCTTAGAGCTGGCAGGGGTCTCTACTTGGCTCCTCCAGCTCCAGAACTCTAGCATTGCTCCACATGGCTTGTCAACAGAAATTTTTCATAGGGAGTGAGCATGTGCCCCGTCTCCAGAGAACTATTGATCTCCTTATGGACTCCAAATGAGGTCATCAAGCTGTGACCTGACTGATAGGCTAAACTCCACCCCTTCACTCTTAATACTCAAATTGACAACAGATTATGAAACTACCAGACCTACATTACCCAATCCTTTCTGAGTATTCTTTATTCAGTTTTTGATATTACATATAGAGGATCCCTGTAAATCATAAATTTGATTATATTACCACCACCTCCTCTTCTATAAGAATTTCCCATTCTTCTTATGATAAAATCTTTCATCAAAATATTAATCTTGGTTAGTAAGATTCTTCAAAATCTACCATGTGTTTATTTACCTTTCAATCCCTATCTGGCTTTCACTGTCCCCTTTAAAATTTTAATCTATCTATCTACCTATCTATCTATCTATTCATCATCTCCACCCCCGCCTCTCCCCCAGCCCCCTGCCATTACACTACCCTTTGCATCTGGTAAATTTTTAACTTCCTGGACATTGTTTGTATTTTATTCTTTAATTGCTTTCTATATTTCAATATGTACACATACCCTTTGCATTTGATATTTCACCTGGCACATTTTCCTCACGTCCTTCTGTAGCACAGACTACTTTACCCTAAGTTGACCGTTAGGCCTTTCCCACATGGTGGATCTAGGTAGAATTCCTTTGTTCTTCTGCTCTGAGAATCCGATTTCTTTCTGTAAAAATTCTTATTTTAGCTTATTCTGACACATTCTTGAGTAGGACTGACTAAATTATATGCCGATTTAGCCCCTGACTTGTGATGATATGAACAATGCCCCTATGTGTTCCCCCATTATATCCCTTTGCCTATCCCAGTGCCTGGCATAAAAGAAGCTCTAAAAAAATACAGAACGATGAATTAATAAGTGAATGACAGTGTTCTAGCATGTGCTGTTCACAAAAAGCATATGCAATTATTAATATCATAGTTATATTCCAAGGTTATTTTGATTGATAGAATTAAAGCTTAGAAACATGTTAAATGTGAGTATTGTGTCCTACATATTAGGCAACGAGACATAAATAGAAAAGTTGATCTTCAGCCCACTGTCACATAACTAGCATGACAGTAAATAGGATTTAAAGCTAGAATCCATGTCATTGTCGGTGTATCATACTGCCTTCACACAAGTTCACAAGCCTCTTTGAAAGTAATGTTAATAACTGAACTTTAAAGGACCTTAAAATGTATCTAACGCAGCTGCAGCTATCTACAAGTTTGAAAAAATTAGGCTCAGACCTGCAAGCATAATATTGATATCCTTGACCTCTAAACTTATGCTCCAATAGATACTGTTTATAAAGCAAATCTGTCCTGTTTCTGTTGGAATAAGTCTTGAGACCGTAAGCCTCCCATTACTAAAACTGTAGTTGCTAATTGTATATTGAGCATCTATAGAACACTAGTCATGAACGGCCAAAAGAAATCTAAATATTGTGAAAAGTTAACCATAGTAATGTCATTAAAAGTTTTATATAATGCTTAGGATTTAATGTGGAAGGAAAAAAATGTGTTTTCCACATATGGAAGTTTTATGTATTTGATTTCATTTGTCAATGTTTCCTCTAGATGATGCTGGCTCAGGACTGACAGGTCTTGAGTCTGTTCATTCCCATTGTTTGACCAGCACTCCACCTTTCTCAACAGGTGGCTAAGAGACTCTACGGTATGGGCTGCTATGAGATCTCCCTGGGAGACACAGTCGGAGTGGGAACCCCGGGAAACATGAGAAGAATGTTGGACAGTGTCCTGAAAGAAATCCCACCGGTTGCCCTTGCTGTTCACTGTCATGACACGTATGGACAAGCCTTAGCAAATATCCTCACAGCACTTCAGGTATCTTCCATTCTGTTGTGTTTCTGATTATTGATATCACATTGTATAATAAGAATGTTTATGGGATATTATAAACATGATGCTTAAATAGTACCTGTCATATGACAGGCAGTTTGGAAATATTTGTAGCACGCATATTTGTTAGGGCAACATGGTCTCTTATTACTGTTCATGTGATATGAAAATATCTCTAAAATTGTTATTTTTAGAGCATTAAAACCATCAAGGCTACGTTTACTTGGTTCAACATCCATATGCTCTAAACCACGAAACTTATAGACTGAAATACGGTAACATTTTGAAGAGTGCAGAGCACAAAGACAGTATAGGGTTCCATTGTAACCATGTAACTAATTCTCCTTCTGACAATTTGCCATTCTACGAGGAGAAGATACAGTACTGAGATGTAGAATCTTTTGGCCCAGATGTTTTCCTAATGTGGGCAAGTTGAGCTAGCCTCTGTTTCTTATCAGAGGGTGTTCCATTTAGTTTAGTAACATTAGGAGATGTAGAAAGTTGGTGGGTTAATAATTACTTATTGAATCTTAACGACTACCATTAGTTTATATATTTATAAGAATAGAATTATTTTCCCTTTTTTATATTTATGAGAATTCAACTTTGTATTTTTAAGCATAGAACTGAAAAGCATTTTAGAAGGGTAACTGAGAGGAATTACTGAAATCATAATGAAGGCTGAACATGGTAGTGGGACAGGAGGAAAGCATAAGGAAATAGAGGAAAGGAGTAGGAGGCAAAGGGTATACATAGAGGCCTAAATACAGACATGTACATATGTAAATATATTTATGATTATGGAGGAAATAAATCTATGTGCATATATTTATAGGTTTAGTAGTAGGGTAGCAGGTGGACATTGGGCTTCCTCGTGAGCATTCCCTTAATACAAGAGCACTTTGCTCAGCTAAACGGTCATTCCAGGACACCCACCTTCCCGACATGATATCTGAAGACAATCGTGTGCATAAGCAAACATGGTGAAGAAAGCTGATGGTGCCTAGCTGTCAAAAGACATAGCTTCTAGGGTCTTAAAGGCTTGAAGGTGAACAAGCGGCCATCTAGCTCGGAAGCAACAAAGCCCACAGGGAAGAAGCACACAAGCCTGTTTGATCATGAGGTGAAGGGATCAGGTAGCAGAGACCAAAGAACAAAAACCATCACTGTGTGATCACCTTCCCCATATAAATGCTGAAGACGAATGTGAGCATAAGTAAGTGTGGTGAAGAAGGCTGATGGTGCCCGGCTATCGAGAGATATAGCATCTGGGGTCTTAAAGGCTTGAAAGTAAACAAGCGGCCATCTAGCCCAGAAGCAACAAAGCCCACATGGAAGAAGCACACCAGCATGTGTGATCAGGAAAGGTCCAGGGGACCAGGGATCAACACCAAAGAGGGGTGGGGGAATCATATCATCTGAATGTGGGGAACACGTGATGGGGACCCAATGCCCATCTCTAGACAACTGGACATCCCTTGCAGAGGGGTAGTGGGGAGGAGATGAGTCACTCAGGGTGCAGGGTAGCATTAATGAAATTCACAACCTTCCTCTAGTTCTTAAACACTTCCTCCCCCCCACTATCATGATCCCAATTATACCTTGCAAACCTGATTAGACCAGAGGATGCATAGCAGTGAAGATGGGAACTGGAAACACAGGGAATCCAGGACAGATGAACCCCTTAGGACCATTGGTGAGTGGCAATACCGGGAGGGAAGGGGAGATGGAAAGGGGGAACCAATTACAAGGATCTACATATAACCTCCTTCCTGGGGAATGGGGAGCAGAAAAGTGGGTGAAGGGAGACGCCGGGCAGTGTAAGATATGATAAAATAGTAATTTATAAATTATCAAGGGTTCATGAGGGAGGGGGGAGTGGGCAGAGAGTTGGGGGGGGGAGTGAGGAGCTCATTCCAGGAGCCCAAGTGGAAAGCAAGAGTTTTGAGAATGACGAGGGCAACGAATGTCTGAGTGTGCTTTACACAATTGATGCATGTGTGGATTGTCGTAAGAGTTGTATGAGCCCCAATAAAATGATTTTAAAAAGAAAGAAAAAGGATTATTTTAAAGTTAATGTTAGATTTTCAAACTCGGCCACAAAGATTTTGACAACTAAAGATAAGACTATATGAAAGCATTTTGCTAGGACAGAGAATCAATATGTAAAGCTTAACACTACAGTCCTAATACGTACAACTACTTGGCAGATGTTAAAAAAGATGTGAGGATCAAGGCCCACAAGGGTTTATTTTGACTTTGGAACACATGTGCACAAATCCTTATTTATCCTCTGGAAGCAGACAAGGAGCATTGTATTGAATCAGAAAAATGAGCAAACATTCTCCCATGGTCTTTTAGTGTGGGTAGTTTTACAATATTTCTTTACCAAGTATTCTAGTTTCTAAAACAATAGAGAACAAGGCAGCACTCCTGAAGTTTATTTTCTAACTTTTAAAAGTCTACTTTTTAACATGATTTCAGGGAACATTTATAGAACAAATTGGCTGACTGACCATTCATCCATGCACATTTTATTTCATGCCACTTATGGAAATCCGTACAATGTGATAGCACTTTTTGTGATTCCGTCTTGTTTGCCATTATTGTTCTTCTTTCATATTAATTTCTGGATTCTGAACTTTATTTTGTTCAAAACCTGGCCTTCTGGTCACCTATGGTCATTGTTCAAATGAGTATTTACCTCAGTGGTCTTATATTTTCCTCTTTAGACCTCTCTATTTTCTGGCTGAAGGTTAAGTGATGGGGGAGAATTCAGTTCCAGGCCTGAAGGGTAAATAAGGGCATCTTAGTCTACAGACATTCTGTGTTCCTCAGACCTGTGAGCCTGGCCTTTGTGTAATTGTGACCTTGAGTTTGGTTCAGTTTCCCCCTCCTGATCTGTCGAGGGCCCTGTCCTGTCGCTCCTGTCAGCACCCCTAACTCACATGCAATATTGAGATGAGATGACACACGCTTACTTACTGAAAGTCAGGAGGACTTGAAGCACTTGCTGATGAAGATCAAGGTTACAGCCTTCAGTACGGATTGAAACTCCATGTAGAGAAAACCAAATTCTTCACAACATAGATAAGATCATAATCACCAGACAAATTGGAGTTGTCATGGATTTCATTTAGCTCAGATCCACAATCAATGCTTACAGAAGCAGCAGTTAAGAAACCAAACTATGTATCTCATTGGGCAAATCTGCGGCATACAACCCCTTTCAAGTATTGGAGAGCAAGGAGATCACTTTGAGGACGAAGCAGCACTGGTCTGAGCCATGGGATTTTCAGTCACTTCATTTGCATGTGCAAGTGGACGTTGAGTATGGAAGAATGAAGGACAGAAGCCGTTGCATTGTATTTCTGGTGAAGAAGTGCCCTGGACTGCGGGCGGAACAAACGCACCTGTCCGGGAAGAAGTACAGAGGGTGGCAAGATGTCATCTCAGGCTTAGACATCCTCTCTCAAAAGATCCGGCACTGGAAAAGGCCATTACTCTTGGGGAAGAGCAAAAGGGAGGTCCAAAAAGAGGAAGATCTTTGAGGAGACAGAGTAACGCAGTGGATCCAACAAAGAGCTCACACGTAACAACCAGGATGCGGATGGCGTTAGGCGCGGTCGGCACTGCTTCTTTTGGTTGTCCATTGGGCTGCTGTGAGTTGGAACTGACCAGACAGCACCTAATGGCAGCAAGAACAACTTCTTAGGTGGAGCAAGTCCCTGAATAACTGGCGTTTTCTCTCTCTCCTTTCTGTGTGAATATATCTCCTATATCGCAACAATTTAAGGAGTATAATATTTTTAGTATAATGTATTTGTATTATGCAATGCTAATTAATTTAATTCTTTGTGATAATGGACTGTCTGTATACAGTTTGGAAACGCAAAACTTCTGCTCTAGGGCTCTGTCTGCATCTTGAAAGTGCCCATGTGTAAACCCTGAGGGAATACTTAAAATTGGGTCTAAAGAACAAGAAGGAACTAACTCCACTAACTGTGTGGGCAGATGGGGGCGGGGGTGGGTGGGGTGGGATGTGGAAAATGCTTCAAACAGATGAAACAATATTTTGGCAAATGGAGTTTAGGGGAAGGGAGGACCATATTATAGGGACTGGCAAATGACTAAATTATTGTGTATTGAGGGAGTAATAGATAATCTACTTGCTGGCAGCTTCTGTGGCAGGCAGTAGGAAATCGTCTATAAGCCTCTGTAACTGGGGTTTAGGTGCAATACCGACTGGGGTTTCCTGTCTGAATGCGGGAGGGGAGGGCTGCGTGCGATAGGGTTGAGACTGCCGTGGTACCCTTCAGCTTTGCGCTGTACTCCCCAGAGCTGCTTTTCATAAACACAGTGTAAAAAGGTGGATATGCGTTTAAAGGGGGTTGAATCATAAATAAAACGACCGAAGGTCAGAGAGGCTAAGTAAATGAGCAATTGTAGAAAAGGGCCAGAAACATGGACGGGCCAGGTAACGAAAACCAGGGCAGAGATGTGACGCTGTCCATCTTCTCTGCTGCCCACGGCCGCGGCCTGCATTCACGGAGACTTCCATCCATTGTCGACAGAAGGAAGAACTACACGCTGGCGCAGCACTATGAGAATCCTGCATGCGCAGCACGTTGATAGTCAGAAATACACTGAGGCACAGGGAAGGGCTTTGACAAACTGAGGGAGCCCATGAGTGCCCTCGTCTCATCCTCCAGCCCGGGTCCCCACAGCCGCGACAGCGCACCGCGGTTTCGCTCTAGGGGAGGAGAAAACGTGTCCCGGAAGAAAGCTGACTGTATTAAACAGACAGGAAATCAGAGAAAGTGCAGCTTCATTATGAACATGGCTAACCTTGGCGTCAGGAAGCAGTGGTCATACTTCATTACTTAAAATAGACCTTTTGAAGTGCCTTCTAATAAAATTGATGGTGGACATGGAGTGGATAGTATTTGCTTTAATTTGGGGGTGGGGAAATAGTTTACAGTGCT